CCCCAAAACCCCAAAACCCCAAAACCCCAAAACCCCAAAACCCCAACACTTATAAACAAGTTGAGACTAAATTTTCCTGTATTTGGGCACCAAGCTTAGACTAAAACCGGGGCTGAGGGATGCTGTGGAATGTCAATAAGACCATCATGTGGAGGATTAATTGTTTCGGCAACTTCTCTGCAGATAGGGCATAAGGGACTTGTTTTAAGCCATTCTAATAAGCAATCTGAATGGAATTCATGTTTGCATTGGATGTTGGGAACATCATCTGTGCTTGAGATATATTCTTGGCAGATGGCTCATGTAAGATCTAAATTATTATTTAGCACATTAAAGAGTTAAAATTTACTTAAATTTTTTTCTTTTGGCATTTTATCCCTCTATCTCTAAGCAAATAGTTTTTTGTTTTGTTATAAATTAAGGCCTAAAGCCATTAGCTAAATGCTAGAACCCATATCTGATAGTTTTCAGTTCATAATAATTTCTATGAACTTTGAGAGAATACTCTAGGAAAATTCAGAGTTTTAATGCACAATAATTAGGAGAATTATTAAACATTAGATATCTATCCTCAGTCTATGAATTGGTTTATCTAAACTCCTCTTCACCCAAATCAGAAGTGAGTCGTTATCAGAAAATATTAATACTCAGAGTAGGGGTTTAATAATCGATGAATTAATGACTCAAAATTTAAACAAAAACGGATCAAAATAAAAATAATTATCACAGCAGCTAAAGAACAATAAAAGAAGTAAAAAGACTAAGACAACATTAAAACTCTAAAATAACCAAAGAATTCTACACCTCCCCTCTAAAATGCCAACGATCCTACTATCCAACATCAATCCTCACAAAACCCAACCCCTAAACCCTCTCACCCTCCTCTACACAACCCCCAAATCCCTCCTAACCCCCTAAAACTCTCCTCCCCCACCCCCACCCCACTCACCTTCATTCTGACCCACCAACCTCTTCTGTTCCTCCCTTCTTCTCCTCCTCTCAATCCTCCTTCTTCTCCTTTCAGCACGTCTCCCATATCCTCTTCTACCTCCATTAATTTCTACATCAGAGTTGTTGCTATCTTCGAGGTTGGGGTCAGGCTGAACGGGAATGAAACAACTGAGTAGGAATAGAAGAGGGAAGAAGATCACTGTGAAGAAGATTGTCAGCAAAACCCAAGTTATTGGATGAAGATATGGAAGCCATTCGACTTCAAATAAATAACCTCTTGTTTGGTAGAAAACAGAAAAACAAAATGCATAAAGATACATCAGGGCTATGTACCCTATCCAGAACCATTGATCATTTTGTTCATCACATAAAAGAGGAACTAAACTAAACACAATTACAGATACCACTGAATACACAAAAACTTCCACAAAATGGTTCTTCCTCCGCTCAGGATTAGAAAGCATGCGCCTAAGTTCTTCCTTGCTTCGGTCCAATATTTCAACCCATTGTCATCAGAGTATTCATAATAATCAAGACAATAATAACAAAGGTATTAATATTGGGCAGATAATAAAACAGAGCAAAGTGCCAATATAGAGTTTAAAATATGCCTCCTTGAATCTAGAGAATCTGAGAGTAGAGGCTGAGGTTACGAAATAACCAAGAGTTAATGTCGAGTGGTAGAAATGGAATAAGTAACAATAAAAAGCATAGGTACCTCCTACAATCATTCTCCATACCAAGATTCCATAAATAATTCCAAAGCTCAATAGGTACAGAGTGTACATGTATTGCTTTGAGTTGACTGTCTTGTGTAGCTTCTCTATAATCTCTTCCGCTGGCATTAAAAATAAATCAAATCAATATCTTATATATATTCTGGGGTTTTGGGGTTTTGGGGTTTTGGGG